GTGTTGGGTGTTAATATGTGGACATTTACGCAGACAATTGCCGTTTCCGAGAATGATGCTCCTGTTTTACAAAACTGTTCGAAAGGAGATACAGAAACATTTGCAGATAATTGTGCTGCACAGGTTACATTGACCAATTCAGCGAGTGATTGTACACCTAGTGACAAATTGAGATGGACATACACTATTGATGTAGCAAATGACGGCATCGGTCCTTTTATCACTGGCACTACAAGTAATGCTTCAGGTAGTTTTCCGGTAGGTACACACAATATTATATGGACAGTAGAAGATATGTGTGGCAATCAATCTACCTGTAATTATGTTTTCAGAGTGATCGATAGGAAAAAACCTACACCATATTGTATCTCTGAAATCACCACCGTAATCATGCCGACACTTGGTCAGGTAGAGTTATGGGCAAAAGATTATGACAAAGGTTCTTTTGACAATTGTCCACTTGCGGGTTGTGGTTTGAAATTTACATTTGACGGATTTAAACCACCTGTTACGATCAATGAAGTTTTGTTTGACAAAGACGGTATGATTGTAGCTGCTTGGCCGACCACAAATGCAACTTTGTTAGAAGCTTATGCAAATGGTGTTTACCAGAGATGGGTGCCAGCGACATGTTCATCTGCCAAACTCTTTACTTGTGATGATTTGGGATCTAATGAAGAGAAAATGAGTGTATGGGATGCGAGTGGTAATACTGATTTCTGTTCGGTAACATTATTTGTTCAGGCGAATGGTACATCTTGTGTAGGCTCTAGGATAGCTGGAAACATAGGTACTGAAAATAGTAGAATGGTATCGGATGTCATCGTCATTTTGAAAAATATGGTTAGTCAAGAATTTATTGCAACCAAAACAGATGTTAATGGATATTTTGAATTTGAAGCAGTGACTCCAGGTACTTCGTATACAGTCATACCTGATAAAGATGTAGACCATACGAATGGGATCTCTACGCTAGATGTCGTCATGATACAAAGACATATCTTAGGCATCAATGAGTTAGATTCACCATATAAATTTAAAGCGGCAGATATCAATAATGACCAAAAGATAACAGCGGCAGACCTTGTGGAATTGAGAAAGTTGATTTTAGGTGTTTATGCTAAATTCCCTAAGAATACATCATGGAGATTTGTAGATAAAGCGATAGATATAAATGACTTTGCGAATGTGTATGCAGCAAATGAATATGTCAGACTTGACACTATACATCAATCGTATATGCAGAATAATTTTGTAGCTGTCAAAATAGGTGATGTCAATGGTTCTGCCACGACCAATGCCAAAAGTAATGACATAGAGAATAGAAAGGCAGAAAAACTTTCTTTAGTTACAATTGACCAATCGTATCAAAAAGGGGAAACCGTAAGAGTACCGATCACTGCGGACAACTTTAAAGAGATGTTCGGCGCACAGTGGACCTTCAATTTTGATGTTTCTAAGTTGAGTTATAATACCATAGAAGCCGGTGCAATGAAAGTCGGTGCTGAAAATATGAATGTTAAAGATGGTCACATTGCATTCAGTTGGAATACTTTTGATGCGACAACGTTTAGTGACAATGACGTTCTTTTTACACTCGAATTTGAAGCAAATGCAAATGGTAGCATTGCGAATAGTATTACATTATCATCAGATATTACGAGATCAGAAGTATATACGCATAATCTTGAAGCGATGAATGTTGAACTCATCATTAGAGAACGTAATACTAGTGAATTTGCACTAGGTCAAAACAATCCAAATCCTTTTGCTTCGTCGACAACTATTTATTTTAGTTTGCCAGAAGATGGAGATGCAACTTTGACGATTTTCGACATCACAGGTAAGACTCTGAAAACTATAAGTGGCTCATTTGTCAAAGGCAAAAATGAAGTTGTCTTGTCAGCTGATGAGTTTGATGCACAAGCTGTAATGTTCTACGAGTTAGAAAGCAATGGCCAAAAGGCAACTAAAAAAATGATCTATTTGCATAAATAGGAAGTAGCAACAGTTTTCCCAATGATTGTTTAATTAAGCAATCATTAGATCCGATAATGGCTTTAGATTTACATAGTAAGTCTAGAGCCATTTCACTTTTTAGTGGGCATTCTGTTGACAATATCTTAATTCCTTTCGACCATTAAGCTGAGAGCAGCGAAGACTGAATAGCGAAAGATATTTTGTTTACAGTTTGAATCTCTTAAGGGTCGCCATTTCAGGCTGCTCCTCAGTCGATTCCTTTGACTTTCGACCATTATTCTGAGTGCAACGAAGACTGATGAGCGAAAGGACTAGAGATTACTTAAGGCACAAGTTACAAACTTGCGATAGCAAGGGGATCAGCACTCCTTTGATACTAAAGTATATTGCATAATCAATCAATTAAGTCCACTTTATACCTTTTCTTCTTTTGGTATTTTACTGGTTATCGTAGTTTTCCACATGAAATAAAAACCTGCAACAAAACAAAAAGCTAATGCCAAAACAGAGTATCTCATGTTGTTGGTAATATTATCTACCACACCGAATAAAAAGGTACCACCTACAATGGCAGATTTGTACACGACATCGTAAAAACTAAAATAGGAAGTCGTATCATGGTCTTTTTCGGGTAGAAGCATTGAATAGCTTGCTCTAGATAATGATTGTATTCCGCCCATCACTAATCCTACAAATGAAGCTATAAAATAAAAAGTTACCTTGTCGTAGGTAAAGTAAGCTGCGCCACATATTAAAAACCAAATGACGATCATGGTAAGAATAGAAAACTTATTTCCCTTTTTATCACCAATAATGGAAAATAAATATGCTCCCCCAATGGCAACTAGTTGTAACAGAAGCACCAACATTATGAGTTCTGATGTCTCGAAACCTAATTCTTTTTTGGCAAAAATTGTAGCCAAGTAAATCACCGTTTGTACTCCCGCACTATAAAAGAAAAAAGCAAGTAAGAATGACTTAATATTTGGACTAGATTGGACATTTTTGAAGGCTATTCTAATTTCTTTGTAACCATCTTTTACCATAGAAGAAGTAAATTTAATAAAGCTGTCTTTTGGCAAATATTTGAATGTGTATTGTGCAAATCCTAACCACCATACCCCTACCAAAACAAAACCTATTCTAGCTCCATTTTTACCGTCAACTATTCCAAACCATTCTGGTTTTTGGATCATCATCAATATTACAACTAGCAAAATGACACTTCCAATATAGCCGTATGTATATCCTTTGGCACTCACTTTATTATATCTATCCTCAGTGACTATGATTGGCAAGTATGAATCATAGAAAACCAAACTCCCTGAAAAACCAATAGTTGCTAGAATAAATGCTGAAGTACCTAACCATAAATCTACTTTATCATCAAAGAAATATAGAGAAATACAAGCCAGAGAACCAATCAAGGTAAACAATTTTAAGAAAAATTTCCTTCGTCCACTAAAATCAGCCACACCGGATAAGAGAGGTGATAAACAAGCTATGATAATGTAAGATATTGAAACAGCAAACGAATACAACGAGCTATTTGAAAATTTTAATTGCCCGAGTGATATCTCTTCAGGCGTGTACTCTATAAAATAGCCTGGAAATATTGCCGTCGATATCACTAATGCATATGCTGAATTAGCCCAGTCAAAGATAGCCCAAGCATTAACTGTCTTTTTATTATTCATTATTACACTACTCATGTCTTGCGGGTTTTTTGTTTTGATGGACCAAAGTAGCAACTATCTTTGTGACAATAAAGTTTTTTGTGAATTTTAATGTTAATAAGCAATTATATCAGGTAAGGCTTCGATTAGAATTATTGATAATCATATCAGTACGCCGTGCCTAAAAAGATTTTGTCACCAATTTTACTTCATGTATTGTGGGAATAATTACCTTTAACATTTTTATTGAATATCGTTGGCCATGAATATCGTCATACTATCGCGCAATGCATCACTCTACAGTACACATAGTCTGGTCGATGCAGCCAGAAGAAGAAACCACTATGTCCGTGTCATTGATCATATGGCTTGTGATCTCATCATAGAATCAGGTAAGTCCAAGGTGCTATTTAACAATCAAGCTATAGAACGCATAGACGCCATCATTCCGCGTATAGGATCCACCGCTACCATTTACGGTGCTGCAGTGATAAGACAGTTTGAGAGTCAAGGTGTTTTCAGTACCCTACATGCTGAACCACTTTTAAAAGCAAGAGACAAACTCAGTTGTTTACAGATATTGGGTAGCAATGGGGTAGGTGTGCCCAAAACGGTTTATTGTAGTTCGCCCTTTACGATTCCTTATCTTTTAGAGCAGATGGAACCATATCCCATCATCATAAAACTCGTCACAGGTACACAAGGTATGGGCGTAATTCTGGCAGAGAACAAAGCAAATGCAGAATCTATCCTGGAAGCTTTTCACACAACGAAGGAAAAGGTCATCATGCAGAAATTTATAAAGGAAGCAAAAGGTGCAGATATCCGAGCATTTGTAGTCAATGGTGAGATCGTAGGTGCTATGAAGCGTCAAGCGCGTCCGGGTGATTTCAGATCCAATCTCCATCGTGGTGGTACAGCAGAAGCAATAAAATTGTCATCAGATGAAGAAGAAACAGCCTTAAAATCTGTTGAAATACTAGGTCTAAAAGTAGCTGGTGTAGATATGTTAAAAACTGTAAATGGGCCCTTAGTTTTGGAAGTAAATGCATCACCAGGACTCGAAGGTATAGAAGGCACTACGGGTGCTGATATAGCTGGAAAAATAATCAAATACATAGAAGATTGCCGGAAATAGTATCGGTCTAATCAAAGGAAAATAATCCAAATAATATGCTGAAAAGTTTAATTATACCAAGGGTAAATCCCAACCAAGAACTCTGTATTGATGGCACCATCATAAAGCCAGGCCAGTCTACACTCTTACGTATTAATGCAGGTAAATTACCATCTGACAATAGAATAAACGTTCATGCTCATGTGTTCCATACTGGTAAAGCAGGACCTTCACTATTAGTCCTTGGAGGCGTGCATGGCAATGAGATTAATGGTATCGAAATCGTAAGAAGAAGTATTGAACAAGGTTTTTATAACCAAATTACTTGTGGTACTGTGATTGTCATTCCATTACTTAATGTGTATGGTTTTATTAATTTCAGTAGGGATGTAGCAGATGGTAAAGATGTGAATCGTTCTTTCCCAGGACATATTAATGGATCATTGGCATCAAGGGTAGCTAGAATCTTGACTAAAAAGATATTGCCACATGTGGATATCGCCCTCGACTTTCATACCGGTGGCGATGCTAGGTACAATTACCCACATGTCAGATATTTTAAAGGTGATCCTGTAGCATCTGAAACAGCAAAACAATTTGGTGTGAAATTATTGATGGAACAAGCACTGATACCTAACTCATTCAGAAGGGCAGCTTATGATATGGGAGTACCTGCTGTGGTTTATGAAGGTGGAGAGTCCATAAGATTGGATAAATTATCTATAGATCTCGGTATGGCAGGCATTACAAATGTGATGCAAGGTCTTGGTTTAGTGGATCAGAGTGTGGTTACAGAAACGCAAGAAAGAGTTGTGATTAAAAAAAATAACTGGGTGCGCGCTGTGTCAGCTGGCTTATTTATTTGGAGCAAGAGGTCGGGTGATTTAGTAAACAAAGGGGATAAACTTGGCGAAATAAAAGATCCCTTCGGAAGTAAAAGTGTCGATGTTTTATCTACGTATAGTGGTTATATCATTTGCCATAATAATGCGAGTGTAGTATCTTTGGGTGACGCACTATTCCATATTGGGAATGAATTTGAGCTATTATCTAATAACTCATCTGATCAAGGTAATGTGACCTTTTAATACTTCGGGTTTGCCAAAGTTGTTGATATAATTTATAATAAAGGTGTACATTCCAGGTGGTGCATATTCACCTGAGTTATTGCGCTGACCATTCCATCCTGTGTTAAAGTCTTCTGTTTCAAAGATGCGATCTCCCCATCTATTCCAAACTGAAAAATGATAATCATTGACACCTTTGAAGATGCCTACTGGTATTAATTCATCATTCAGCCCATCATTATTAGGTGTAAAAGCATTAGGCATATAGAAATTTACGAATGGCAGTACTTTGATCTCAGCTGTGGCAGTATCGGTACATCCATTGGTTTTAAGGACTACTTGGGTGATGTTAAAAGTGCCTGTATCTTGGAATTCAAAACTAGGATTTTGCAATAGGGAAGAACCCAATTCATCAAAAGTCCAGCGATAAGCAAATGCATTTTCAGATTCATCTATAAATTGTACCCTATTGCTGTAAAGGTTGGGTTCTTCTGGTGTAAATGAAAATCCAGCGGTAGGACTTTCTACGATTTTAATCAGATTGTTCCATCTTTTTGAAATCTTGCAGCCTGTAGGCGCTGTTAGTTCAAGGTTGACATGATAACTACCCACATCTTCATAGACATTGATAGGGTCAGCGTCTGTGGACGTTTTACCATCGCCAAAATCCCATGCATATTTGAAAGTACTATCCACAGGTGAACTTAGATTTTCAAAAGATATATTGGCTGGTTGACAACCGATAAACGTGTTGGGATCTATGATGATAATAGTAGGAAGTGGCAAATACTTTATTTCTTGGATGCTAGTATCTCTGCATTTATTAATATCTTCAGCTACTAAGGTCACTTTTTTGATACCAGCAAATTCGTACTCAAATGCAGGATTTTGTAAGGTAGAACTACCTTCGCCAAACTGCCAATCCCATTTTTGTATTGGTCCTGCGCCACTCATTGATTTGTCTGAAAATAGGATAGGACCCGCTTTACATGTATCAAATTCAAAGGTGAAATCTGCTTCAATCGAAGGGAAGACATTTACGACTATTCTTGCTGTATCTGTACACTCAGCAGTATTGCCATCACTTTTATTGATAATCATAGTTGCAGCATAAGATCCTAGTCCTGGGAAGGTATAAGATACATCTCGAGAAGTAAAGGTTTCCTTATTTCCGTTCACATCAAATTCCCAAAAGTAGTTTTTTATATATCTTGCATCTGTACTTTGATTGATAAAGTCAATGGTAAACGCTCCGCAACTATTGACCAAAAATTCAGTAGGTGTTTTGGCTGAAGCTGACAGATCTGCAGTGATAGTTACTTCGCAAACGGTTACATTAAATTGGAAATCTCTTCTCAGACTACCAATAAGTTTCCCGTTTCGATATTCCAAAACATTTACACCTACTACAAATTGACCGAGAATGTTAGGTACGCCAGATATGACTCCTGTCTGTCTATTGATAGAAATAACTGGATCACCTGCCATAGGTCTGTCAAAAGTGAAGTTTGGTTCGTCAAAAATAACTTCTTCAAATGGCGGAAGACATGAATAAGGACTTGGACGGACACCACGACAATCAAAAGGGCTAGCGCCATCTGGTCCTCCCGCTGTTAAAGGTGTAATAAATTCATATACAAGGCTGTCACCATCAATGTCTATCGCACTATTGTCATATTTGAGTGGTCTATTTACACATAGCAAAACAGGTGGTAGACCTTCAAAAACTGGGCTATTATTACAAGTTCTTTGTGCATCAGGACTTATTTCGGTAGTGAATGCTGCACCAGTTTCTGCAGCATTGACCAAATTAAGAATAGTGTTATTTCTGCAACATCTTTGATAGGCTATATAATACGAATCATCAATGATGTCAAGCGTTACTGTAAATTTATATACACCTTTTTGTACCCCAATGTTTACAGGAGCAATTATACATGGATTTTCATTCTGAACATCTATATTGCTAGTATTTGATACATAAATATTATCAATTGTCCTAACTCTGGAATATGAGTTTCCTGATTTACGGTAAATGCCAAATGAAAACGGATTGTCAAATTGCGCCCCACCACCACGACTGTCTCTGTACAAGGTAAAAATCACTTCAAAAGTTACCATCTTTCCATCTGCACTTACTCCTTTACATTTATAAGTGGCATCTCCTCCTATGATATGAGCACCAAAAGATGTTTTGCTAAAAAAGAATGTCAAGGTAATCAACAATACCTTAATGAAAAATTTTGTCATAAAGTATCAGGTTATCTGATCAAGGTAATGTGACCTTTTAATACTTCGGGTTTGCCAAAGTTGTTGATATAATTTATAATAAAGGTGTACATACCTGGTGGTGCAAATTCACCGGAGTTATTACGCTGACCATTCCATCCTGTGTTAAAGTCTTCTGTTTCAAAGATGCGATCTCCCCATCTATTCCAAACTGAAAAATGATAATCATTGACACCTTTGAAGATGCCTACAGGTATTAATTCATCATTCAGCCCATCATTATTTGGTGTAAAAGCATTAGGCATGAAGAAATTTACTAATGGCAGTACTTTGATCTCAGCAGTAGCGGTATCGGTACATCCATTGGTTTTAAGGACTACTTGAGTGATGTTAAAAGTGCCTGTATCCTGGAATTCAAAACTAGGATTTTGCAATAGGGAAGAACCCAATTCATCAAAGGTCCATCGATAAGCAAATGCATTTTCAGATTCATCTGTAAATTGTACCCTATTGCTATAAAGGTTGGGTTCTTCAGGTGTAAAAGAAAATCCAGCGGTAGGACTTTCTACGATTTTAATCAGATTATTCCATCTTTTTGAAATCTTGCAGCCTGTAGGTGCTGTTAGTTCAAGGTTGACATTATAACTACCCACATCTTCATAGACATTGATAGGGTCAGCTTCTGTGGACGTTTTACCATCGCCAAAATCCCATGCATATTTGAATGTACTATCCACGGGTGAACTTAGATTTTCAAAAGATATATTGGCTGGTTGACAACCGATAAACGTGTTGGGATCTATGATGATAATCGTAGGAAGTGGCAAATACTTTATTTCTTGGATGCTAGTATCTCTGCATTTATTAATATCTTCAGCTACTAAGGTCACTTTTTTGATACCAGCAAATTCGTACTCAAATGCAGGATTTTGTAAGGTAGAACTACCTTCGCCAAACTGCCAATCCCATTTTTGTATTGGTCCTGCGCCACTCNGGTGAACTTAGATTTTCAAAAGATATATTGGCTGGTTGACAACCGATAAACGTGTTGGGATCTATGATGATAATCGTAGGAAGTGGCAAATACTTTATTTCTTGGATGCTAGTATCTCTGCATTTATTAATATCTTCAGCTACTAAGGTCACTTTTTTGATACCAGCAAATTCGTACTCAAATGCAGGATTTTGTAAGGTAGAACTACCTTCGCCAAACTGCCAATCCCATTTTTGTATTGGTCCTGCGCCACTCATTGATTTGTCTGTAAATAGGATAGGACCCGCTTTACATGTATCAAACTCAAAGGTGAAATCTGCTTCAATCGAAGGGTATAAATAGATTGTAATATTTGCCGTATCAGAACACTCCGCATTAATATTTTCACTTTTATTGATAATCATGGTTGCTGTATAAGACCCTAGACCTGGAAATGTGTAGGAAACATCTCTTGTTGTAAAGATCTCTTTGTTGCC